AGGGATTGAACTCAGACCCTTGTGCTTGGCAGGGAAGCACTTATTCTACTGAGCCATCTCCCCAGCCCCCTCAATTTCTTATAAAAAAACTTTTTTTTGAAAGTTTTGCAAATGTCCTTGCTATTTTTATAATATAAATATATTCTGGAAAATTATGAAAAGTTTACCAGCAAGGTTGTAAATTAACTGTCATATTTTGTGAAAATGTTCTGCTCCTATATTTCTTCATTCAATGCACGGATTGTCATGGTGCCAGGCACGTGCCTGGTGCTGGCAATACAAGCTGAATTCGAAATGTTTGGTAGTAGGAGGCTATGGTGGCATAGGCATGGTAGCACGCCCCTGTAATTGGGAGGCTGAGGCAGGAGGATTGTCATGAGTTCAAGGCCAGCCTGGGCCAGACGTTGTCTCAGAGAAAGAAAAACATACCCCCATGAAAAGCCAGAAGAAAAAAAAAACCTCTGAAAATATCTGGTCATTAGAAAAACAGTATTTTTCTATTATGTATATTACCAAAAATACTAATTTTTCTAGATTATGTGAAGTAAAAGTAAACTTAAGTTTATTTACTTTTTGGTTTTTGAATCAGGGATTTGCTAAGTAGTCCATGGTGGCTTTGAACTCATTATGTTGCCCCGGATGGCCTAGGATCCTGCGGCAGTCCTCCTGCCTGAGCCTCCTGAGTTCTAGGATTATAGGTGTGCGCCACTACGCCTGGCTGAAATTTACATTTGTAATATAAAATTATGTGCCTTAATAAGACAGTAGAAGGCAGAACTACTTTAGCAACTGTAGTTAGTACTTACGGGTACCTCAGAAGCATTCTGACAATACAGAAAACTATTCAAGGTTTTGGTTTCTTAATTACTAATATTTGTTCTTTAAAAATAAAATCAAAATAGGAAACTGCTGCGCGAGTAAATCAGTCAGCTTTGGAAGCTGTTACCCCTTCCCCGTCTTTCCAGCAAAGACATGAGAGCCTGCGGCCAGCAGGGTGAGTCAACAAACAAAAGTAATTTAAAGAACTATGTGGGCTGTTAGAAATGTTGGTGAGTGCTTTGACTGTAGCAGTACTTCTTTATTTTTTATTTTTTTGGTGGAACCGGGGATTGAACTCAGGCCCTTGCGCTTGCCAGGGAAGCGCTTATTCCAGTGAGCCATCTGCCCGGCCCCAGTACTTCTTATATTAGTACCGACTATACTCACAGGGACTTGAACACCAGAGAAGTGTATTTTCAGAACAGTAAAGTTACCAGTATTGGTGCGAACTAAATGATAATTCAGTTTTTCATACTGTTTCAAGTTAGATCTCTAGCTTTAGGTGATTTATGCTTTTTTTTCTTTTGGTTGATTTATGTTACTGAGTTTAATTGGAAAGAAGGATGACTTATTAAGTAGGTATAAAATGGGATTGTGTTTTTATTAAAATTCGCTTTACTCATTGGTGTAAAATTCTGTGTTGAGATTTTCGAAAGAAATGCAAATACCCTGCTTTCTGATTTTTTTTTTTTTTTTTTTGTGTGTGTGTGTGTGTGTGTGTGTATTTAGACAATCTCGGCCACCAACAGCTCGAACGAGCAGTTCGGGATCCTTAGGCTCTGAGTCCGCCAGTTTGGCTGCCCTGTCTCTAGACTCTCTCGTGGCCCCAGACACCCCGATACAGTTTGACATCATCTCCCCCGTGTGTGAAGATCAGCCTGGTCAGGCCAAGGCCTCTGGCCAGGGAGGCAGGTGGGTGATGGCAGTACAGGGACATGGTGCTGTGCTGCGTGAGGTCTGTGGCTCTGTTTCTGCATGTGACTTGTCTCCTTCGTACTGTGTGCATCAGATGCTGCACTTCCTTCAGCTACCTAATACAAATTTAACGATTGGGAAAGAATCACACGTTTTACCTTCTGCCTCAGTTAAAGAAATGAAGATAATGTAATCCCCAAACTACTTAATTCTGAATAGATCTACTTCTTGGACATCTGTTCTGACAATTGCAGAAGAAAGTTCATCTTTCATTCAGAATTTTGAAAAATCTTTTGGGTAATACTTGTGCTTTAGGTTATTAGAAAATATGTTGTATTAGAGTAAGAAATGCTTAAGTTACTGTAAGATTGATGCTATGAGTTATCAGTGAGTCATCTTTTGTTTACATAAGAATTTTTGCGAAAACAGCTAAATTTTTTTCTTTGACTATAGATGAAGGAAATGGGACAGTGTCAAGTAATTTGGGGACTTAATAAATTTGAGAGGCTAACTTGGAAGTGCATGGCTGGGACCAAGCAGAAATCATTTACTTTTTTTTTTTTTTTTTTTCAGAACTGGGAATTGAACTCAGGCCCTTATGCTTGCCAGGCAAGCGCTAAAGTCTACTTAGCTATGTTCCCAGCCCCTAATCATTTATATTTGATTACAGAAATATGCTCAATATTTCTTGCAGTAGGTCAGCATTATTAAAGAGATCAATGTTCTGCTATGTTAGTGCTAATATTGTTTTAGAATAACTTAGTTCTGCCTCCAGAATTTTTTCGAGTTGTACTTCTCTTTATTGTGGCTAGCTCACAAGCTGAGCACACTAAGGGGAAGGGTAGCTTCTGTCTTTGTTTTCCTTGTCACACTGTTACTTCTTCCTTAAGAAATAGAGCTTTGCTTTGTTTTGTCTTTTTGGCACTGTTGGGGATTTAACCCAGCACCTCAGGCCTGCTGGGCAAATGCTGTGCTGCTAAAAGTAGAAAGTATTGAATAGGACTGTCCTGCTACAATGCTGTGTATGGTTAGATTTCTAAATTTCTGTGTAAAAAAATATGTAATTGTTATTCCAGTTTTAAAAAATATTTATTCTTTTTTTTTTTTCCTTCACATTCTGTAAGGATTTAAAGTTTAACACACTAATACTTGATGGAAAATACCTGTTCCATGCTATGTGTAAGATGTTTGATATCAGACAGATAGTGAGGTTAAGCTCAACTGCCTGTTATAGGGTAATAATATCATTAAGCTTCTCTTCTGGAGGGTTAACAACTTAAGTTTGCAGACCAAAAATTAGAGAAAAAGAAGGGCTATAAGGACAGCCAACATTTTGGCCCTAGCCTTTCAAAGTCAGTGAGGACTCAGGACATAAGAGAACCTGTACTGTAACATCCTGTAACTCAGTGATGTCCCAGATTTTCTGATCAAGGAGATTATGGGGCCAAAGAGGGAAGTGATCGATGATGTAGAGTGTGCCTAAGGACAGTCACATAGAGAGAAAGCATTTTCTCAGGCTTTTACAGAGAGCAAATTGGTCAAGCAATGGCCTTGACTCATCACATGGCTGACACTGACAAAGGATCTACAAACTGTGGTACAGGGTTTCAGGCTAAATCCTGAGGGGATTTGACTGACCTTGTCAGATACAAAAGTTACATTTCTTGGTATATAGTTCTTGTTTTACCTTGGTCTTCACCATCCAGCAGAAAAGTAAATAACGAGGTATAAAAAGTAAAGCCATATTAATATGCTGAGCTGTAAAAGGCTCCAGTCAACAACTTCTGACGTTGCCAGTCCTACGGGTATGGCCCACTATTATTATGGACTACTGGATTATATTGGATTATTTTGCTGTATTCATGCACCTACAATATTTATTTATTTATAATTCTTTTTTTTTTTTTGGAACTGGGGATTGAACTCAGGCCCTTACGCTTGCCAGGCAAGCGTTTATTCTACTGAGCTATCTCCCCGACCCCCCTACAATATTTAAATGGCAATGGAATACCTATCTCTGACAAAACTAAACAAAAAGGTGATACAAATGAACTACCATTTTGTATCTGTATATACAAAATAGTTAGGATACATATACTAGGACTTTCTATTCAATGAGAAGAAAGATTTGTACTAATAGTGTTTGGACAGGATATCATGTCTGCATCTTGTACTATGAATACTACGAAAACAACAGTATGCAATGTATTAATTACTGTGACTGTCCTACTAACCTGTTTTCAAACTGTCTCATTGCTATTTGTATCTCAATAAAATTATTTTTTTAAAAAAGTGTTCAAATCATTGTATTTAACTGATGACATATATTTAAGAGAACCTTGCGCCAGGGACATAGCTCAGTGGCACAGTGCCTGCCTGGCAAGTGAAAGTCCTAAGTTCAATTCCTGACACACACACAAAAAAGAGAACCTAGAAAGACGCTTTTATAGTGCCAGGAAATCCTTGGCGTTTTTCTCATGCAGCCATGATTGTAGCTTTGTCAGTGTTCTTCTGTTAGCTCCACGACTTTTACAAGATGGTTTATTATGATGTTGAGTTTTTTGCTATGTGTGCTCAAACTTCCAGTCCCTCTGTGTATTCCAAAATGCAGCAACATCGGGCTTAGTGTTTAATTAACTCATTGTAGGAGGCCAGAGGTCATGTCATAGTTGTTTAGTTCTTAGTGTATTCCTTACCAGGATGGAACATTCTAGAGCTTTTCTTTTTAAGATTCATGTATAAGGTTTTGCAGTGTTTTGGATTTTGACTCTAGTCTCAATGATTGGATATCTTCTGTGTGGCTTATAGTACCTAAGCATTTACCTATTTTTTAAATTTTGGTAAATTTTTCAGGCGTACAAATCCATTTGGAGAATCTGAAGGAAGTGCAAAATCTGAAACTGAAGGTAGGACAGATATGCAATATTCCTGTATATTAGAACTATTTTTCAGTAGTAAACTGTATGAAGAATTTGTCATTTTCATTTGCTTTGTTGCTGTGCTTGGTTTTAGTGTTACTTCAGAGTTTTATGTATTTAGTCATAGTTCATGCACAGCAACAGAATTTAATCTGATGTAAGATCATTATTCACATATCTTGTAATGTCATCTACTTTGACTTCATAATAAAATTCTTTTTTTTTTTTTTTGTATTTTAGGGAAGGGTCTAGAGAGTGTTCAGAGTCTCACTACTAGATCAGACTGGTAGTGATCTGCCTGTTTACAGCTTCCCTAGAGCTGGGATTACAGACCCACATGCACCACACCCAGTCTCAATTGCCATCTCAGCATGCCCTGGGGACATAAAATTCTTAATGTGTAGGCTGTCCTTAAAAGATTTTCCAAATAGCAGATAATTCAGTCCTGGTCCTGGAGTGTTAACTTTTTAGTTTTTCCAGTAGCTGTTTTTTAAAATATATAATTCCAGAGCCAGCGGGATAGCTCAATGGACTAAAGTGACTGCTTAGGCAAGTGCAGGGACCCTGGTTCCATCCCCAGCACCACATGCTACACGAGCCCCGCCCCTAGGTTGGCCTGAGCTGGCCAGAGTGGGTGTAGTGGCCCCAGCCTATCATCCCAGTGCTGGGGGGCTGAAAGCAGGAGGCTCACCGAGAGTCTGTGCTGGGTAGTGAGAACCTGTAACAGCCAGATACATTAAAAAATAAGGGTCATGGAGAT